ACTGAGACCGTCACAAAGACCGTTTTCGAAACTGCTTATGAGAATATGTTCTTAGTATTGATATATCATAGATAGTAGTAGTAGCTTTCAAGTATATCTGGCTGCAGTCTGCCGATATTTGTTCTATTTTTCTCATTAACACACTCATTGTTGGTCCAGTGTGAGTTCTGTTGGAAACCCGAGTTAGTATCTTTCTATATGTTCTGAAGTTTTCCTACAGATTATCGACGACATAAACAATGCAGTGAGGTTTGTAGCATTATAACATCCTCATTTCTCGGATTCCTCTAGGCCTGCAGCGTCCTACGTCAAACGAGGGATCCAATGTTTTCAAAGTAGAAGAAGTTAATTCATGATGGGAATTTTTTTCTGGTAATCTAAATAAAACATCTCAAGAGCTGTTTACAATATTTATCTATTTGTTTACCTGAGAAAAAGTGTTTACTAAAGAATGAATGGACATAAAACAAAATAAAACAACCATTTCGCTTGGAATCTTCATCTCTTGTTCTAAAGTGCCACGGCCCACTCTCAATTTTCGCGAGGTTCAAGTCGGGCTTTGTTCTCTGGCACTGAAGGAGCATTTGATTCGTGATGAAGCAGAAGTGCTCTTTCGAATTTTATGTCGCAATCATAATGACTACTAAACGAATTGTTGCTTGATGTTGAACGACGTGGACAAATGTCGCTATAATGAATGAGTCTGTCATGTATAAAGCTTCAGAAACCTCCTATGAAGTTGAACTGTGAGTAACGGTAGTTGCCGAAAATTTTCTTAGCTCCGCCCAAAACGTTTCGACCAATGAGAACACAAACCACGCCCACTTGTGTGTTATGTTTCCGGCTTCATGAGCCCAACCAGTTGTTCAGCAACATGTTCTCACTACAGGATTTACTTAACTCCCAGTTGCGTTCTTCCACCATTCAGCAACCTTTCCCACCTCCGCAATTACTAGGTTCTTTCTTTTCTTCTTTTTTCTATTGTTTTTCTGTCCATAATCGATGGATTCCGATTCATAAAATTTGCTTCAGGATCATCTCTTAACACTCAACTATACGTGCTGATGAACGTTCAACTTCAACAGATGTTAAATAATTCTCTACCGCGAGCTGATAAAATAAAAAATGAAATTGAAGACAATTATGAGCAGGTTAGCTTCTGGGCTACACTCAAAAAAAACGTTTTAATCCTTCAGCAGGTAGGAAGAAAAAAATGAAAGAGGAAAAGACAGAGTGAGAAATAAGTAAGGAGACAAGAATGTCTTAACTAATCGAAAAATCTGGACAGCGTGTTAGGCTATTTTCTTGAGTTTTTAAAGTTTCTTGCGTTAACTTAAAAAAAGATTCCTTAGTTGAAGAAAACTTCATAATTTGTAAAAAATTCTGGAAAATTGGGTTTTAGAAAAAGTTAGAAAACTTCCTAGATTTAAAAAAAAAATTTTTTTGGAATATTTGAAATTATTCGTGAGATGAGAGAGATGGCTTCCAAACACAGATGAATAAATAAAAAATCGTAGACGAACAAAGAGAAAAGAGAAGAGAATGTTTCTTTTGTTTACTTATGTTGAAATTTTAAGCACATCAGCGATTTATTTTTACAGCGATAAGAGTTACGTTAGTATGAATTAAGGTAAGCTGCTAAAGAAGCAAATGCTTAGAAGAAGTCTGTGCTTCAAGAAGCATACGAGCACAAGACTAGAGGAAGGCGTTGACTTCTGTAAATCTTTATGAGTTCGTCTGTAAAATAATGTATTGTATTGAAAGTAAGGTGTGATCTGGTAGAGTAACATTAACATTCCTTAACTGTTTCCTTAACTGTTTCCTTAACTGTTTTTTTGATTCAATTCATAAGATTGAACTGGAAAACTCGTCACTTATTGCTCGTTCCACATGTTCTTAACACCAAGTTAATTTGTGTAATTCTTCATAAAGAATGTAAATTGTCTACTGTAATGTTGTTTTTTTTCGCACAATCACTTGATGACGATGATGGCGACACTTTTAGAGGGCAGCGTGTTCTTTTTCAATCGACAACCTGTTACGACCGGAAAGCGATGGGAAGCCGAAGGTAGTGCAGAAGTAATCGCTCATCGCTTCTGATTGATTAAGAAATATTTTATAAACGAAAAATGGTCGTAACGAGGGAATCCTCGCAAACACCTCAGATAAGAAGTATTACTCAGCAGCCAAAAAGGGTAACTCTAATAACTTTCTTCCATTGTTAAGCTGACATGAGATAGATAAAAAACCTCGGCCTCAACCTCTTATCAGCCTCTTGTTAGCGTAATAGTCCAATAAGGTTTTCATTATTAACGGCGTTGCCAAATTACGGCCTTTGTCTTGCAAAAAAAAATTTAGGACATGGTGTTCATATAAGTAGGGCCAAAAATGGCGCTATCAGAAGTGTAATAAGGTGCCGTCTATTTGTTGTCTAAACAATGGAACTTAAATGTTATTTCTTACACAAAGTAGAGCCAAAGTTAACACCAGTGTTATCTAGAGAAAAGAACAATAGAACTTGTCTGAAAAATCTCACACAACAATAGTTTTCAAGTATTTCGTCTCACTTTTTTTTAATGTTATGTAAAACAAATCACCTTGAAATTTTCACATCTGTTTTGCTTTTCAGGTCTTTGTTTCTGCTTTTTCTCGAAGTTGTACAAATCAGATCACTTTAAAATTGATGTATGACTATTTTGGCTCAGATCTTTAAAATTCCCGAAGCGTTAGTTTACGTAAATAAACGAAATGTTCTATCGCCGGAGCACAATAATCAATGTCTATATCTATTATATAAACATTGGTACTATTTCTTAAATATTGCACAAATTAGTACATAATAAGTGGACCACCTAAATTGTGGCACCACTCTCGCACATTTTCTGTTGTTCACCTCGCTGCTTTGCGACGTTCATCTAAGAAAGTAGACAGGTTCGGGAGAGGATTAAGCTTCAGGCTGAGGATACGATGCTCTCAGTTGAAATATCGAATGCTGATTGATTTTTTATGTAGTTCACAGTAGAGTTCTGTCCATCACTCTCTAGTTAAGGTGTTCTTAAATCATTCTTACAGGGTGCATTTCTAAACCCAAGGGAGGTTTGCTCTTTGGCTTTCCTTCCACGGCACCATTGAATCGGACAATTAGCCAGCCAGCCGGTGGAGCAACAAGCCAGATTCTTGCAAATAGAATGTTTAAAACGTAGTTTAAGTAACAAAAACAGTGTGATCCAGTCATCTGTACAGGCCTACCTTACATACTTCCAAGTTCTGCATACTGATTAGAAATGTGCGATAATACTTTTAAAAAATCATTTCACAAATGTGATTGTGATGCAGCGGTGATGAGCTTCTGTACTAGAAAGTGTTATGGATTTTATTTTGCATGGATATTTTTCATCCAGAGATTTCGTTTAGTGATTCGATTGCAGATCACATATGCTTCGTCCGAATTGGATCCAACATCGTACACTCTCGACGCTCTTGAAGTGTCCGATAAACGAACGAAGAGCTCACGAAGGTATAGCCAGCTTTAAAAAATATATTATTATCTAAAGGACTTATTAGGGCTATTGGAGAGAATATATTTTAACTGTTTTCAGTATTATCTAAAACAGTCGTATTCAAATGTATCAGATTCATTCTGAAAGTGAAGAACTTTCGAAAGTGGTGGAGGCTTTCAAACTTAAACAAGCATGTGATAGCTCATAACGAACTTTATTAGATGTAATGATGTAACTCAAAAACATTAATATTTATCCATCTTAACCAGTGAAATAAAACTAAGCTTAATGAAGTCGAATGCATGGCGCATCCCTAAGGGATTGACCAACACCGAGGGCATTATCCTTTTTATACACTTATTTGAATGGCCTATCTTCACTGGTTCTACGGGCCCTAGCATAATTTCCGTCTCTTCGGAGTTTTGCTAGTCTAGTCACTGTGGTTCTCTGGAGTCGCGAGGTCAGCCTGGCCAAAGTTTGCCCCTAGGTGGCGACCACTACAGGCAGTCACCGTCTTTGTGGATCAGAGGGAGATTTGCCACCATGAGACGTCATTAATATCAGAATAATCGGATGATTACGTATTATTGTTAATTTGTGTTACTATCGCTGTTATTACTATTATTATTTGCTGCTATTGTTATTCTCACTAATTTATTACTGTTATATTTCAGTAAATTTTATTATTACTGTTGTTACAGTCATTATTTACTACCATCATTATCATTAGTTATCAATTACTTGTATTGACATTAACACTACTATCGGTTATTCGTTGCGTTTTTTCTATCTGATAAGGAACACATTTGTAAAAGATATGACACAAGCAACATTCCATGTGGGTAGGTGTAAAAAGCTCGGAAGCCAGCCTCTAACATAAAGTTAACCTAATCGATGCGCTTAAATCGTTTTTCGAACTTTCTCACTACGGATTCATCCTTATTAAGGTACAAGCCATTGGAGAGTAGAGCAATTCAATTAGTTTAAGCTGTTGACTTTGTACCCAGTGTTTGTTTTCGTTTGAATTTTACTAAAACTGAAATGGAAAGGTTGAAGTTGAGCTCTTTGTTTCTGGATTTCAAATAAGAAGAATTGAAACTTTTTTCCGTAATGAACCACACATTTTACCAAGGAAGGCTTAGTAAAATGCATCCTCAAAATCTTGAAGATGAGTATAGTTAAGGACGGAGATTCTTTTTAAGATGTACGACAACCACTTATCAGTGACAATTAGAAAGGAACCATGTAAAACATCAATAGAACGTGAAAAAATGCCTCGACCACCAAAGACCTTTCAAAATGAATTCATCGTCTACACCAAACTGAACCAAAAACTTGGACAGATGAACGACGTACAGACCTAACCACAGCCAAAAAATTAGCTGGCCATCATAACGTCAACGCCGTGCCTTTTTAAACTAGCAGTACAGATTCAGTTTTTGACTCCGATATTTGAAGAAATCTGGATCACATATATCAACCATCAATGGTTGGTAGTGTTTGGAAAGAGGTGAAACACCAAAACACGCGAATCAAGGCAGCATCAAAGAGGGTCACTGTTCGGTGATGAGAAAATGATCGACATCGTCTACCATCACGAAATGAATTAAGAAGAAATCAGAGAAGTGTTGCCAAAAGGCTACACAATGTGACAATAATCCAACATTGGTTCAATTGAAAAGAATCAAAAATTCTTATAATTCTCATCCAATCTCCTATCTCATTGACTAAGAAATTCTATCCCATATCCCGTCCAGCTTACACAACAAAAGGCTTTCAGACTAGCATTTATCAAGCATCTAGGAAACTTCCTGCTGAAAATTGAGCACACTTCTTACCAAAACCTCGTTCCAGGAAACAAGGGAAATTCCATGGTGTCGAAATATATGTACAGCTTCTTTTCTATTAATAATGCTAGTAATATTTTATTGGCTTTAATTTTTGGTTCCAAACATAGGTACAGTCTTCAGAAAAAATTTCAATTTAAGATTCACCAATCCACGATGTGTTTGCGACCAATGTGGAAAGTCCTACGCTAGTACAAGTAATCTCAGCCGTCATAAACAGGTAGTGATGCGCCAGCACTTCAACTGAAAAAAAGTCACTTTCGATCCTCAATGAAGACTAATGTAGACTGTAGAGTAATACAAATAAGACTTCTCTTTCAGACTCATCGTCCGTTAGATAGCGAATATGCGAAACAATGCCCACATTGTGATCGAGTCTACGTTAGTATGCCAGCCCTCAGGTGAACAAACTTCTTTTCATTATTCGAATCATGAAAAAACGTCTCTCAATAAGTAGTGCTCTTCAATGGCGGTGCAAACTAAGCAGTAATCAGTATGTGGTTAAAAATGTAAGATCTTAGGAGTAATGTTTTTCATATACGTCACATAATGGGCACGTAGCGCAATATTATTGACATCGTTCATCAAAAGCGCGTTTGTGTTTTGGCACCGTTCGGATTAATCAGACACACATCCCTCCGGGATCGGGGAATTCATAGCAAACATTTTTGGGAACAGTTCACTTACTGCAATTTAAGAGCAAGCGAGCGCTCTATCCTGGCTGTGTCAGAACTCCAGGGAAAATCGACTTGACCAGCATTTAATGTTATTCATAACGAAGAAGAAACGAAGCAGCAGTTGAACCAACACACAAAAAAATTTTGGAAAATCTTCGTGGATGATGGATGCGAGGGAACGAATCGAGTGCATAAAATGCTGGGATCGCCGCAGTAGACATGAAGAATGGTTATGCAGAATAAATAGGAAAATATACGTCACGCAGTGGATATTCCTAAGAATAATGTTTTCCATGTATGGTACATAACATCTCATTAAAAGCTCAAGATTTCTTCCCATGTATAAAGTTTTTGAGCGAAAAAAAGCAGAGCGAACAGTTGCCTCTAACTTGATGAACTAAGAATCCGTAATTTCTTGATGGCTTTTATGCAACACCGTTCGAAAAAGCGCTTATAAAGTACTGGTCTGATTGAATCTTAAGGAAGCTTCCTCTGTATACGCACCGCCTACGCCACCCAACCCACCACCTGCAAGGTCACGTAATAGGATAACACGCTTGCGTAACAAGTATAATGTCAGCTGTTTCGAAAATCGGTCAATTACACCTTTATCATATATTTATTATTCAATTCACACTCCCCCATTACTGCTATTTCATTTATATCCGTTCGATTATTTCTCATTTTAAAAACCACGACTGCCGTGAAACTTATATTTGATGTAAAAATAAAAACTAGAAAAATAAAAAACGGACATGTGTACCAATTTCGCGTCAGCTCAGACACATAGAAATATATTGATTATGGTTACCGAGTCCTAGTAAAAATCGGTTTTTAGGAAAAAAAGAACTTTTTTTTTTATTTATTTGTAATTTATACGACACGTCTTCACGACTACTATGCAAGCCAGAACTTCTCACATTCGATTTGTTCCCTAGCAGTTATTGTCCACGAAGACGTTCTAAGCTTTACGTGTGGCTTCGGTTGCTGCTTGACGATTTTCACTTCATTTTGAATGTCGTAGAATGCTGGTCGAGCAATTCTCCCTGGAGTCCTGAGATAACCGGGCTGGAGCGTCCCCAATTGGATTTCAGAGAGTGGTTTTTCCCAAGGGAAGTCTAGTGCCAATCTTCCGACCCTGGAGGGATGAGAGATTTGGTTGAGCACGGAGCGGAATCGAACTAGCACCATGCTCGTGATGATGAACATTACTGCCACTGCGTCATCCACCCCATAAACGAACGTTAACATGTGATAAATAGAGGGAAGTAGAACATAGGGTTTAACAAAGAGTCAATGGGTTAATTTCAGTATGCATATTCTTACTCACAAGGCCAACCATAAGTGTGACGTGTGCGGGAAGGTTTTCTCAAGATTATGGTTGTTACAGGTAAGGAGTACTGGTAACATCAGAATCGTTTTCATCACTGTGCTCGCCAGTGTGATATAGTAGCTTTGAGATATCTTAACATTCCAGCCCGAGTAGATGTTGTTATGGCTACTTAACTAGTTCTTAAAAGTAGTATGCTCTTCCTCAAAGACGAATTTCTGCTTAACGTCCCATATAATGTGATATTTCAGTATCTTACATATTCTAGTATTCACACAACACTTAATCTTCAGTAATTTCTAAAATTTCTAATCTTTCACGATTCCCGTTGTTATCTGAAACAAAGAAATACATATTTTTACGAAAAAAATTTAAGCAGTTAGTCTTAATCCTGTCTAGGGCCATCTGCGTTCGCACACTGGCCAACGACCATTTGGATGCGCTCATTGTGGAAAAAATTTTGCTGATCGGAGTAATCTCAGAGCTCATATTCTCACTCATACGGGTTTGTGACTTCACTGATTTTCCAAAGTCTTTTAATCACTTGTGGTTCTGGATGGAGTGGAATGATTAATGCTAACATAACCACTAAGCCTCCCACGTCGCTCTTATGCCGAACAGACGGAAAAGCCCGGATTACGATCACCATGTTGTCAAAGTAATACGAAATCCACGTGGATTAGTGCAGTTCGTGAAAGATTAATGTTGTTATAGAAGCCACGAAAACGGAGATGGAAGGAGTCATTAGATAGAAAATAATTTAAATGCATGTACAGTAAAGTAGGAGCAAAAAAACAGTGGTTTCATGGAAAGCATGACTACTACGTGTTTGAGAAAAGCTTATACTTACCTTTACCTGGATACTTGGACGGTCCATCTTCACGAGCTGTGCAGACCCCAGCACATATGCCATTCGTTCCTTTCTCTCGCAATCGTAGTCAATGGTAGTGGTCTTGTTCGAGCATAGTAGTGCTTGCGAGTCTCATACCGTAATCTGTAAAACAACTGCAGCTGCGGACACAGCTGATTAACTTTGATTACGAACATGTCCGTCCAACGTGTAGGTGGTCGTCGAAGAAGGCGTTTGCATTCCCTCGGAGTACACTCTACTGTTCCTTTCATCCATCTGCCGTCTGTTCTTCTCATTATGTGACCGGCCCATCTATGCTTCGCTGTCGATGTATATTCTCCTGGATCTAGAAGATGTGACAGATTTCGAAGATCAGAGCTTCGCATTCCGGCTACATATTGAGAGCGCTGGTTATATTACAGACGACATCGCTCAAGCGCTCTGTGAATAGTTCAAAGCATTCTTGACGTAGTTGAAGTAACAACCCACGTCTCAGCAGCATAACAGAGCGCTGGGAGGACCGTAGAATCAAAGAGATGAGCGCGGATTTTCGGGTCCTTCAGTTGGTTGGTGGATTCTTTGAGAGGCCTGAATGCGGCCTAAGTTGCTCTCCTTCTTCTACCTAGTTTCTCCTCCATGTTGTTTTTCCTGTTAATTGTTCGCCCAAAGTAAACGTACGGGGTGGTCCCTGCAATGAGAGAGCCATCCAGTTCAATTTATTCGCTTTGCATCATGGGTTTTTCATCAACTGGGTTCTTTTTCGATTTGTGCGAAGTCCGATCTTTTGCCCGTTTCGTTGAGCTCGTTGATCATCGCCTCTGCTTCGCTAGTACTTTTTGAGAAGATGACAATGTCGTCGGCAAATCGAAGGTTTGATAGGAATTTTCCATCAATACGTATGTCTTTCTCAACCCAATCCAGTGACTTCGTTATCCACTGCAGTGCGGCACTGAACAGCTTTGGTGATATTGTGCCACCCTGTCGAACCCTTTTTCCATGGCTATTGTAAGAGGTCGATGGAAAAGCTGTATTTTCTTAGTGCAGTTCCGATAACAGTCGGACAGATTCCTCATGTAGGATGGGTCCACTTCCTTGGTCGACGAGCGCTGATAGGATTACATTCGCTTTGACACTGTCAAACGCTTTCTCATAGTCGACAAAGATTAGGACTAGAAGCAAGTGGTATTCCCGACAAACTTTGATGACCCTGGACACAGTTTGGATGTGGTCCATGCAACAAAATCCTTTTCGAAATCCTGCTTGCTCGACTGGTCGCGCCTCATCCAATGAAAAGCTTATAATCAGAAGTAACGAATGATTGCTAATGAGCGTTTATGTAAACACATTTTACACCTATACATCTTGTCGTGTGACACTGGGCTACGAATTCCCAAACAATGGCACGAGTAAGGCACCAGTATTGACTCCTTTTAATACATGTAACGTCATGGCTCAACCAGGCGCCGGGACAGTGAAAGCCCATCACCGTTCCCGGGTCGTGAAATTGGTACTGGAGCGCTGATACCCAGGGATGCCAAACAACTAAATAATGATGCAGTAAGCGTCATTGATTGCAAATTTGTTTAATGCGTTGAGCTGTGGAGATCTTAATTGGTGTTTTCGCGCCAGTGGACGAAGCCTCATTTTTCGTCGCGCTCACTATGACACGTATAGGTGTCACACCGGTCACTTCAGCATTTTTTTTGCCCCATTAACCTTCGTTGTGATTTCTGTTCCATAAATCGGTTTTTTCTGCGCTTTGAAAAAATTCCTGCTTTTATCTCATCATAGGTATGCTGCATGTTCCTCTACACACTCTCCCATATTTCTTGTACATACCACTATGCACTCATACTGCTGTCAGCATTTAATAGAGCTATATAAGTTCTGCAAAGAACACTACAATGTCTGCCATTTAGTTTTGTTATCCTCTCATTACAAACAACACCCAAATTCATTATCACCTGTACCACCTATCGTCCCATTGATCGTCGAGTGACTCAAGTGGGGGCCAGTAAATCTTCCATTTTTCCCTGTCTCGTGTAGTAAAGTAGCCTGGTGGGTCTGCCTAGCGACTTGTTGAGCATCGTGTTTTCTTCTAGGATCTTCGTGAAGAACTCTGAAGTCTTTCTGCAGTACGTTTGACTTCCCGAGGAATCCAGTCACTAACGGCTGTTGTCCATCGGTTGTCATTCATACGCATTGCGTGTCCGGCCAACCTTATCTTCGAGTGTTTGGCGTACAAAACGACATCTTTGATTTTTGACCGTTGACGCAGATCAGAGCTTCGGATCCCATCCCTTACTTGTGTGAAACAGGATACTCCTAGCATCGTCCTTTCAACTGCGCGTTCGGTAACGCTGAATGACTTTTCATCCTGCTTACGCAGCGACCAGGTTTCTGACGTATAAATGATACAGGAACAATTATGGGGTCGAAAAGATGAGTACGGAATCGGGTGTACTTTGTACTCTTCACTTCGTCCCCGGTGCTTTTGAAGGCTATCCAAGCCGCTCGTTTCCCCTGTTCAGCTCTGGAGCTAAGTCGTTGACTACGTTGATTTCTCGACCTAGATAGACGTAGAGCATTTGGAGGTATTCCCATCGCTGAACGTAAATGGGGCATACGAAATCATTCCGTTCCCCATGAATATGAAAAATCGTGATAGAGACTGAAAATTAGAAAACAACGAGTTGCTTGTCAAAATGATGGTGCATATTGCATGCATTGCCAGTTCTTCGAGGGAAAGTCATTTCGGAGCCTTCACTGGCCACACTCTCCAGGCCGCACACTGTATTCAACAGCGATAGACTCTTGCCGCAAAATAAGGAATTAGTGCGAAATGCGCGATACCTGCCATAGCGTCTGCGTTGGAGAATTTATCGATTGTTAAGTCCAATGGAAAAGTTCTGTAAACCAAAATAAACCGCCGGGAAGAAAATGACGCACGTAGGTGCCTTATCAGCTACCTCCACAAAACCGTCATGACACCTATAGGTGTCATTCGTCACGATGGTGTTAAATATCAAGTTAGTGTTTTTAAACTCTTGGGCTCTCTCAGACACCTACCGATTCGGTTCCAAACGTGTACTAATTTTTCCAACTCAGACAGGAGTGTTTGGTTTGCCTGAGACGCCAGATTGGAACAACGAGCATGTGTAATATAGTTTAATCATATCTGAAAATAAATTCGAGAAAAAAAGGGGATAATTTTTAATGTTTTACCTTTTATTTTCTACCTACTACAATTTTCACGGCAGGTTACCAAACGAAATACAACCACAGCGTTGCTGAGATATTTGCAAAACTCTGGACCGCAGGTGTCTATGGTGGGGAACGAACGCGCTATTGTCCTTTCCGGGGAGTAACGCGTTCACCACCGCACCATGGGGGTCCTTCGTTTCGCCTGTCTTTCAGCTAGTTCTATCGATTTTTTCCATAGTAATCACCCGTCAACGGGATTGATCTGGGGGGCCCAAATTGGCAACGAATCTAGTTTAGTGAAAAGTTAAATGTTTAGGAGTAAAGTGGAATTCAAACTGAAAGATTATTGGCAGATTTTCTAAATTACATTTGGAGGTTGAATAGTGATTGAGAACTCTCGTTAAATACTTGGCTATTAGGCTCATGTACGATCGTTTATCTTAAGCTTACGGTTTGAGATGTTGCTGAGAGACAGACGGAACGAAGGACCCACATGGTGTGGTGGTGAACGCGTTACTCCCCGGAAAGGACAATAGCGCGTTCGTTTCCCACTATAGGCACCTGCGGTCCAGAGTTTTGCAAATATCTTAGCAACGTTATGATAATTTTTAAAACAGCTAAGTCCTCGTAACCTAAATAAATAACATATTTTTAGGAAACTCTAGTTTCAGCTATTTTTTTCGACAAAGTTAAGTTACCCGACTTACGGGAAGTGCATTCGTAGAAAGTTCTCGGTTTTTTAGGCGAGAAGAAATATTCTTGTCAGAAATGTGGACGTCGATTCGCTCTACGCAGTTATCTGAATCGGCACACCGAGACGTCGTGCAAGCAAGAAGACGTGTGGCAACAGAGATGTGGTTTTCCAGCCAGAATTTTGCCAAGGGTACAAGATACCACAGATGGAGCAACTCCGTAGACCCTATCTGTTTGCACTATTAAATCAGATCTCTTTTTTTCGTAATATAGTTCATTGTGCTTAATACGAACTCCTTTGCAAACACACAACCGAAACGAAATTTGCATGATGGGGAGTCAGCTATTGAATCTAAAAACACTAGTGAAGCAATCTATGGCACATAAAAATATTATATGTCTAGTTAAATAGCCACTTCAGATGTGAACTGCTTCATGTTGTGAATGCGAATCATCAATTCGTTTCCAATCATTCACTTATTGACAATCTCAGTGATCAACGATTAAGGGGATGTCTTTCAACTTCTAGTCATTTGCATTTGTGTACAACATTTCGTGAAATAAATCATAAAGTCTACAAGCACAATAAGAAAACCGTCGGTTATCTCTCAATGGGGCTAACTCTTCGGTATTCAAAAGACTACTGAACGGCAATTGCATAGAATTTCCAAAACAATTGCTTTAACTCTTTTATTTACTGCCTTTTTCTTCTTAATGGCAGGGTATGTTTCCAATTATAACTCGTATGAAATGTTGAGATATTTGCAAAACTCCGGACCACAGGTGTATGCAGTGGGGAAGGAGTTGTCCTTACCGGTAAGGACAACAGCGCGTGTTCGTTCCCCACTGCATACACCTGTGGTCCGGAATTTTGCAAATATCTCAGCATTTCATACGAGTTATAATTGCTTTAATTACGACATTTCAAATATTTTCTCTCCTTCGATTCTTTCGAGTTAGTCCGAAAATTGACATGGACACCTTAACTGAGCGTTTGCCCGACTCAATTCGTGAGCGTTTGTCTTCGCACGATCTACAACCGTTCTCGTTGCGCGCAATGTTGTAACGCATTGGAGTGTCGTCTTCCATATTCTCCTTGAGCGGCTAGACCTTAGACCTTTTTTCACTTCTACTTCCTTTTTGATTCCCGTTTTAATATCGTGTTCGACTCCCATGGTAAGAAGACCGTTCGAAGGAATCGCGCTGCCGAAAGGATACTTCCTTCAGGACCACACTGTGCTGAAGACCTGAAAGCGCACTTGCAAAGTCAATTCAGGAAAGAAAAAAGCACTCAACCACTAAGAGACCAGATTCAGTACCCGCACACTGAGTACTGCCGTCTTTGACTTGGAACGGGGAAACGACCGCTGAGAGGCCACAAAATCTCGGGTTACGAGGACATCACTGGAACCGGATCTGATTAACATACACACATGGAATGATCATGGAAATTGTTTCTTACTCTACACGTAAAATGGTAGAAAACTCTCGTGAGACGTCGCTCTTAACACTCTTCTTGAAGATGCCGACCTCACCAAACTCAATGTGATTGCGTTACAAGGGAAAAAAGCAAGAAAACCGACAAAGCCCAACGACATTACGAACTGCCGGTGTCATCGGCCTTGTCACCTACCCCTGCACTGCTCCTTTAGTCGACTCGTACGATATGCTTCCTCGTCGCATGGCCTTCCTCCGCTTTCCATCAGCGCGTCAAAGTATGATAGTGGTCTTCCTAACTGCTATTCATCAATCGATGCAACTGACGAGCACGAATTGGATGCGTTCTATTATCAGGAAATTACTCCCAATGATAAAGCGTATCATAAATTTGTTTACTGAAGTCTCAATGCCGGAATAGGAAGCGCTAACAGAAACGAATACGAGATTGGAAAACTTGAATTACGATACAAGGATGAGAATGGAAGCCATTTCGCAGGACTCTTGTTTGCAGCGCGCCTCTTCCATGGAAACTCGTTTTTCCAGAAGAAAGAACGCCGTCGCTGGACACGGGAGTCCCGTATGGCACAACTCATGCGAAGATCGACTATATGCTGACAAAGAGAAGATGGTGCCTACTTAATATACCGGTAGTTCCGATCACCGCGTTCTTAGTGGAAAGATTGGATTCAGCTGCTGGAAAAGATTTCAAGTCATCTACCAAGAAGAAAAAGTCCAGCAGTATATGACCAAATTATTATAAACGAAATCCTATCCAAACGTAAATGACAGATTAAGGAAGACCCGATCAAAGACTACGAGCTACTTGCCGAAAGACTTAGAAGTTGTGCGAATATCTCTTCAGTTCCTCAAGCAAGAAGATCAGATCGCATCTTCATTACCACTAAGGCTCGAGAAGAAAATGAAACTGAAGCTTGATCCTACTGCAGCACGCGTAACACGGATGGTAATAAATTCCAGTTGTGGAAAAGCTTTTTGGAAAAATCTACATCGCTACAGGCATAAAAAACTTGGAAGTAGCTTAAGTAAGAACCAGTTCTAATGAATAGCGTCCGAACTTTTGCTAGTATAATGTTTTGCTGTTACCCCTGATGAACGAAGGTGGAACCAATAAATCCCGCCATGATATGAAAGTGGTAATGGAAAGGTTCTACATCTAACCCTTTACGTTTGTAATCTCCGTCTCGAACTAATGCCTGCTAGAGAAAAACTACTTGGGATTGCTCTCTTAAGTTCGAGTTAAGGTATAAAGCAAAGAATAAGACGTAGCTCCAAGACCCGGTAATATCACTGCCGATTTCCATCGAATTGGAGGCCACAAATCATATGCACTTTTGGCAACCCATATGACATAAATTCAGAAAGAGAAAACCTAGACTAGTGGACGACCTCACATACGATCATCCTGCCGAAGGATGAGCGAAGCGGTCTTTGTAAACACCGTCCAATATGCTTATTGAATGAACTCCACAGGCTCTACACAAAGAGTATCCTGTTGTGCATATCAAAAACATTGCATGACACACAACCACATGAGCAAGCAAGACTTCGACGAGGATTTTGATACATGGACTACATCTGTACCTAGTATCGTAGAAGTTTGTCGGTAATAAAACCTGCCCACAGTCCTGACTTTTGTCAATGAAAAACCGCTTGAGAGCATAGAATCGAATGCAGTCCTATTCACTACTCGTCGAGAAAGAAGTTAATCCGACCTATATAAGAATTGTGGCTGCATGTTATCGGAACTGAATCAGGAAAGCACAGCTCTTCCACCGACCTCTTACCATATCCATAAAAAAAGGAGTTCGACAAAGCGACATCACCAAAGCTGTTAACTGCTGCATTGTAATGGATGATAAAGCCACTTGCTCGAAATGAGAAAGGTATACTTATTGATGAAAAATTCCTATCAAGTCTTCATTTCGCCGACAGTATCGTCAGTTTCTCAAGAACTACCAGAGAAGCATTAAGAATGCAAAATGAGCTCAATGAGAGAAACAACATCGGACTACACATACATCGGAGGAAGATCTGGTTGATGAAAAACCTATGGTGCGAAGATGAACAAATCGAACCCGATAGTCTTTTGATTATGTAGTTCACTAGAACGTGTACTTCGGCTTTCAGTGATCTGGAAAACGAGAAGAAGCAATTAGAGAAGGACAGCAGCATAGACCGCCTTCGGGCTTCTCAAAAAAGTCACTGGCCAACTAACGGGCCTGAAAATCCGCGCTCACCTTTTAATTCAGTAGTCCTCCCAACGCCCTAATATATAGCAGAAACGTGGGCTGGAATTTCAGCCACTTCAAGAATACTGCTCACCTGCTAAGCACTCATGGAGCGCTTGAACGGTGTCATCAAAACTATGGCTGGCACACTCAGTATCTAGCAGGAATGCGAAGCTGTGATCTTTGAAACCTATCCTACCTTCGGAATCCAGAAGAATATACATCGATAGCGAAACACAGTTGAGCCGATCACAGTAAGAAAAACGGACGATGGATGGACAAAAAGCAATTGCAGAGTGAACTTTGCGAGCACCCAAGCGTCTCCTAAGACGGCCAACTACACGTTGGACGGATATGTTCTTAAGCAAAGTTAATCAGCTATACTCGCAGCTGCAATTGTTCTACAGATGATGGCATGAAACTTGAATCTGCCACCATGCTCGATTTGTACCACCAAGTTCGTAGCTCAAAGAACGTTAGCCAAGGTGTTGGTAACTGTTACGAGGTCGCACAGCGTAGAACCTACGGATAGGACCTTTTCATTACTAATCCCATATAAAGCGATAGATATCCTATTTCTATCTAGTAGACTAATAACAGAGAAACACTGTAGTCCACCTTTGAGATTTCTTCGGGGTCGGATTTGCTTCCCCAGTTGCTCTCAGTAGCTTCCTTTCTAAGTTTTTATATCCTACCAGGATTCGTTATCACACTGGTACCAAACTAGTCGCATGGTGGAAAATGTCGCTCTTGTCCAAAAGGGCGGAGACTGTCTGTGGTGCTGACGACCTGAGGCGGACTTTGGCTTAGCTGACCCTGGGACTCCAGGGATCCACAGTGGCAAAACCAGCAAAACTCCGAAAAAATGAAAATTATGCTCCACTCCTTTTTTTGTTGAAACCAGAACAGATAATGCCCAGGAACGGTGGTACTAAGAAATCAACCATCCCATCTATCGCTGTGAAACACCCACTTTAATAACATTCTTAAGAAGTGATCATCGACATTTCCAGCATTGCATTACGTGACATATATCACGCAAAATTTCCATAATTAAAAACATTCGTCAAGACTTGAATTCTTGAACTGTTAAACATCTATTGATGTGTCCGCAATGTGTAGACAACCACTTGCAAAGCAAACATGGGAACAGAACTGCGACACATACACTTTAATTTAGGATCTTCATGGGACATGTAAAACGAGCAAAAGTTATTTTTACACAAAAGACTCAGGGGTTAAAAAGAACTTCTACAGATCGACAAACCAACATCTGCGAAAATGTGATCGTAGTACCGAAAAAACCAAAACTCAGATCAGAGAGGTTAACGTTAGGCAGAAATACAAGACTTCGCAACTTCATTAAAAATCGCTGAAGAATCTACATATGCCTAGTGTTCCCAAAGTTCAGACCACTTGCCGTCGCGCCCTTGTTGCTACCCATCTGCAACCCGATCACGCCTTGACCGGCTTTCAACTGCTCTTCCGTCCACGCTCTTTTCTCTCCTTCAGATTCCTAGGAACGAAATTCTCTAAATATGTGCTATCGATGCAGTAAATATTACCTTAGCTAAATAATAAAACACAATGAAAGCGTAGTAATAATATTTCGAAACCGACTTTCTCTAAACCTCGGTGTAACTAATCAATATGTATTCTTTCTTGATAAGCTTGCACGAGGTTGATAAATATATTTATTTTCGACTTCCTCACTCAGTGATGCCCTTTTATACACGATGCTGATGGTGGATATATAATGATAATGTCCGGTGGTAACAACTTGTGTTTCTTCCGGGCATACATCATTGCGCACATCGTGCAGAGGTCGGTGTATTATCAGCTAGCACAAAGCGTAGTAATATTTCGAAACCGACCTTCCCTAAACCTCGGTGTGACTAATTAATATGCATTCTTCCTTGATAAGCTTGCACGAGGTTGATAAATATATTTATTTTCGGCTAACGTCTCGACGTCTTCGTCTTCCTCAGAGCCGGTGATCCGAGTCGATGGTCCATGCCTGTTGTTCGCCTTGACGTTGCGTCTTCGCCTTCCTGTCGAGCCAGATCTTCCTCAGCGAGCCATCTTCTCGAATGAGGCATCCTCACTCAGTGATGCCCTTTTATACACGATGCTGATGGTGGATATATAATGACAATGTCCGGTGGTAACAACTTGTGTTTCTTCCGAGCATACATCATTGCGCACATCGCGCAGAAGTCGGTGTTTTTATCAGCTAGCACAAAGCGTGGTAATAATATTTCGAAACCGACCTTCCCTAAACCTCGGTGTGACTAATCAATATGCATTCTTCCTTGATAAGCTTGCACGAGATTGATAAATATATTTATTTTCGGCTAAGGCCGAAAATAAATATATTTATCAACCTCGTGCAAGCTTATCAAGAAAGAATACAAAATGAAAGCATCACCAAGCACAGGAGAACCTGCCTACTCCTAGCGGACACTAGAGCAAAAACGAATTCAGAAATATATTTTTCTCCTAATTTCCGTTGCCAATTCCTCATGTTTTAACTTTATAAAACCTATTAGTTTTATAGCGCAACATTACCCAATAACTTGATAGTGGTTAATGTATAGTTATATCTTTATACGTACAAATGACAGAACTTGTATTTTTTTTTCAACAGACTTCAATAAGGAAAAACTCCGATAAATATTCACTTTCGGCCAACGTGTCTTCGTCTTCTTCAGAGACGATGGTCCTCGTGAATATTCATCAATCTCGTGTAGGAAAGAAAAAGAATAAAGGAAAGAATACATATTGCTTAATCATACGGAGTTTAAAGGAAAGTCGGTTTTGAAAGAACGTTGACTCAAAAAAAACTTAAACCACGATTCTGGACGTGGGTGAACACTTTCAACCTAGCTTTACAACCGCGAAAGTCTTGGATAAACATCGATGAGTTCTTCAGAACTAGTGCTTTTGAGGACTTGAGAACTATGCAACTTCATAGACGAAACATCCTCAAGATCACATACAAATTTTTAGTATTGCGTCCAATTTAAATCAAGTTACGTCCAGCAAAATATGAACAGATTCGCTAAAAATGTAATGTGAGTGCACCAGTTCCGATATGATTGAATGTTCGAAACTATGTTCTTTTAGACGAACTTCAATTTCTTCAAACTCTTCGCCGCTCGAGATACCTGGTTCCAATCACAAAAAAAACATTTTCGGGACAAGACAGATTTCTAGATCATGGTAAAGACATGTAGATTCTAACGGCACTTTTTTTAAGTTCATAAACTAAAATATGAAAAATATGGGTTGTGAATGAATGTGGGTTTTTTATATTTGAATGCAAAAAAGTTCCCGGTAATGATTCACCTACATGTTACTCGTTAATGGGTTTACTCTCAGCATATAGATACGTTTCCTTTCATCTCTTGCAAAATTGTCAAAACACTTAATAGCCGAGAATCTCACCTTCGGGCCAATACCAGGTTTCCCAAATGCTTTCTCACTTTTTCGGGCTAGAGAAGACAAGCAAATGAGCACTGCATTCGGATCTTGCCCCTCATACAAGTCAACAGTCTGAAATATAATTTTAGCAGTCCATTAGAACTCCAAATAAACAGGATTAAGCAAAAGCAAAGCTGCAGCGTCTGCTGTTCTACCAATATTTTCCTTACACTATGTAAATCTGTCAGAAAGATTGCAGTTCTTCGAGAAAAAAACACCAGAGTACATCGAGAAATTTAGAATCGGCCCGTTTCTATCGTCAGTAGATATCAGATGAATAATGCAAAGACCTATCTGACGCAAACTATAGCAAACTTTTCGCAATATTCCACCCGGAACATACAGCAATACTTTCAACAGAGGCTGTTCAGCAGCGCTCAATCCACCCGTGTTTTGGCCTAATCTCAATTATAAAACAGCTTCAGGAGTACTCCTTGTTAGATCAGAGCGTTGGCTCGACTATTCGTATTCTTCAGTTCCTTCAGTGTTCACGTCGAAAGGCAGCGGAACTCCTGAACCTTAAGGAATGACAACTAGCTATCTGCTATAGCGACGCACATATGGGAACGCTATTTCAGATTCTCTAATGTAAACCGCTCTTGACCAACATTCAATATACGAATGAGAAGGAAAACACACTCTAAAGTTGCAACTGAAACCACACCAGAACCCGACTACATACGGATGACAGCTGCAAGATAGCAAAAGTGTAGGAAGAACCCAAAAGCATAAAATGATAAAGGAAAGAGCTGGCGGCGCTGATCCTGGGGGATGCGCCATGCACTCGACAACACTAAGCATCGTTAGAGGTGACTGAATGTATATCTGGCTTATATAATGACTTGCGGCAACCAACCGATGTATCGCGTCATGCTCCTATCCTCTCAGTCAGGTCTGGCGCCTATTTGCCGAACCCGGAGTAACGGAAGGCTTTGTGGGCCTAGGGTGCAGGATCAACCCCACGTGCATTGCAGGGAGCCCGTAACCACTATGCTAAACGCGCCCTTAAGTTTGCGCAGAAAATGAAGAAAATGATGGTTCGGCTGCTACCAGGTTTCTTCTTCATGAATGCAGGTGTGTTGATAGAATTGATTCGCTTTCGACACCTCGTGTAGTTTTGTCGTGGTACTCTTACTTTTCACCACAGCAAGCTACTGAACCCGAGTAGATAGACCTGAGGTCGAAGCAGTGACCAAGTGTTTGTGGTATGGCATTACGAACTGCCGCGCTTCGATTTTCTTTTGAAGTTTTCACGTAACTAATATTTACTTAGAAAACTCGTTTTCCATCCGCGATTTTTTTAAACAGCCTATGTATTCGCCGTATTAAGTAAAATTGGTTGAATACTTGAATAGCCGACCTTCAGAAATGATGAACACCGCAGTGCAACTCTTACGGCTGATATTCTAACGATTGGACAAAATTTATCGCTGAAGTGCCGAGAGAGATCCGTAGGCCACCGCAAGCACTCCCCAACTCTTCTGAATCGGAAGATCCGCGGTGTAACCAGATCTCCTAAAACGTAAGGGCAACCCATGGCAAGGTTTAATCCTAGACTCCGGATAGAAATACTGCTCGTAAGCTTCAATGACTAGGCAAAATATACATCTCCTGCTGTACTTCAGAATTTCACAACAACGAGTGTTCCTTGCCACACTGAATTGAAGATGGCCGTGTATATAATGCATACTAACACAAATTGGCCCACGAGAGAGCGGCAATTTTTCACAATACAAAGTTGTTCTTGTTCCAAAGTGAGGTTAGCAAGTCAAAAAATACATGTCAAACATCAGTAGTACTTTTACGTCACAGCAACGTATTCCATTCCGACATTTGATCAAGTATTCTCATAAGATACCTGGAAAAGTTCAGACTTCGCAATGTAGTTCTGCGCAAACGCAAGAAAAAATGCGATGTTCTCCATCTGCTTGAAAGCCATTGCTGATTGATTAACTTTATTCACGGCACCTGGCTTGAGACTATTTGCCAAGCTAAAATATACGAAAAGATTAAATTTAAAGCAGACGTGAGAATGGATTAGTATAATGGCAGTAAAAGAAACCCGCCATTAACTACGTGGCTTTTGTCATATTCTATAATTACTAATACTACAATGACTACCCTCCCAACGGTTTATCGTCTCATCGCGGCAAGTAGGTGTTCCTGGATGTCGAGCTGCGATGTACAGCGGGGTATTCATCCCTCAGTAGGTCTCTCAAGTTGAACAGGAGTCCGGCGTTTCCATCAGGAAGCCATTTAAGACTATCGTCCTGGTACCAAACTAGTCGCACGGTGGAAAATCTCCCTCTGATCCACAAGTCGGCGATTGCCTGTGGTTGTGACGACTTGGGACAGACTTTGGGCCAGGCTGACCTCGAGGCCTCAGGGAAACACAACGGCTAAACCAGCAAAACTCTGAAAAAATGGAGAATATGCTGGAGCCCGCACAACCAGTGAGGATGGGCCGTCCAAGTATCCAAGTATCGTTTCATTTAATCCACAAGAAAACGAACCCTCTTGCCAAAAGCGTCACAAACTCGAGTATTTCACAGTGACGGTCACGGGTACCTAGCACCATTACGACCAGTACTCGAGTAATACAACTTTATCACTGATAAGATGCAAAACAGGATAGTAATAGCATCACCACTAACGAATAATGTTGACATTCTCTAGTTCTCTAGGCGTGGAACGGTAGAGTGTTGACAATGTATTGGCATTTTTCTTAACCTCTTAGAATGTTCAAAAACAACTAATCCAACATACCGACACAGCAGTGTTCCATCTTTAAACAAAGAACAAAAATTGTCAATGTTTCCATCCGTGTTAAAATCTTCGCCAGTAACTGACTGAAACACAGCTCAGTTTGAAACAAACAACAAAAGAGTAACTAAAAACCAATGCTAAAATCAATACATATACCTAAGTGTGCTTCCACGAACGCATTGAAGCCAACATATACTGTGCTGCTTGTGTTACAGCACTTAACATTTACATGCCATTTTGGCCACCACAGCGGTCATATGTAAGAAAACATTATACCCGGCAGGGCCTCTACAGAGTTCATCTTTCTCTGGTGACTTACTTTGTCGGGTAGAACCCTTTTCGTATACCTCTTTTGTAATTAATCAATAGGTTATCCAACACAGATGTTTCGGCACGCCTCGGTCGATATAAGCTTCACTTTATATACTTTATATAGGAGTAGAATTAACAAGATAAAATATACGAAAAACTTCTCGAACAAGTTTACTGACCGAAAATTTGACTGGAAGTTCACTACTACTTCATATAGTTCATATCTAATCGATATGACGAATCAAAGTTATGCAGTGAAATCCGCGAATATAACCATACTGAGGATGGATTCGGTGTAAGCAACAAAATGCAAATGCTAACAACAATGTGTCTGCATGGTAGGCCATAATGAAAACTAGCAAACAACATAGTGGCGCGTATGGCGCAGTGGTCGGAGGCGCACTGCAATACACCCACGGGATCGATCCCCGCGCCCGTAGCTCACCAAGCCTTCCATCCTTCCGGGGTCGGAAAATTGCTACCAGATTTGTCTGCAAGGATAGAACCACTGATTCGATACATCGGTGGGCCACCGCGAGTTATTGTAAAGGCACATATGCATTAAGTCACCTCTAACGAAGCTTAATGAGGTTGAATGCAGGGCGAATCCCTCTGGAAATGATAAAAACCGAGTTTTATCCTTTATCCTTTTAAATAATAGGAAATATGTTACTCATTCCCATAGAACGACCGAGCAAAGTCTCTTCTAGAATATCCCGATGTTCTCAATCACTCAACTTCTTTTGTAATCGAAATATTAACGCCTATTGTCAAAAAAAAAGCAGATCCTAAAAATGTGAAAGTAGCCGTCGTCCCATGCGGCAGTCAGGAAAATTAGGCGTCGTCGAAGGTGTTAATTTATTCCTAATTAGGTTACGGTATATAAATACTGCTGCCTTCGATGAGGAATCAAGGATCCGAAGAATGCTAATATCGAGATTTGTGTCCATAAGGAAACAAATGGACTTAGATGAACATGAACTACGAAGGATATGAAGAAAACAAAACATACGCATGAGTTCAGATCCAAATGCCTATGTTAGTAGAGGGAAAAAATAGTCGTACATTACATTCGTACGTCATTTCACATTATTACTAGATTCCCTTATATGAGTGATTTCGAGCCGTATTCTCCCGACAAGAATCTATACTCAGGTGACTACGGTATAGAGAAAGCGATGCGTTGGCACACTACAATAAAGTAACTTCACAGGTTACTCCAACATTTTCACAGTTATTCGCGGGCATCGTATAAAAAACCTGACAAATAACTTTGTTTCTTAAGCGAACGGAGCACACTGCGGAAGTGGTCCGGTACAGGGATATATCCACATTAGTGGTGATCATTCGATAACGAAAGTGTCGGAACACATCAGCATTTGTGTCAACACATCTGGTACTTACCCAGACCACATCTTGGTAGTGAGAGAAACTTATAAAGAGATGGGTCACTCATGCAAATGTTGCTGATCATTGTTATATGGATTCATATTAAAACTAAGAAACAAACAATCGTTTTCAACAATTTTGATATTACTTTATTACATTTATGTGATCTTATAAACTGATCTTCTTAAGCTGATGCGAGGTTGGTACTTTATTATAATATTACTTTTCTTTCCAACAGTTTACCGCCTCATCGTGGCTGGGAGGTGTTCCTGGGTGTCGGACTGCGATGTACAGCGGCGGATTCATCCCCTGTCAGGGTCTCCCAAGCTGAGAAGGAGTCCGGGGTTTCCATCAGGAAACCTAGTTAAGAGTAAACCAATGACAGGATCCACCACCGTACCGGCTACTACTTGTGGTGGTGAAGACATGGGGCAAACTTTGGCCAGGCTGACCTCGGGATTCCAGGTAATCACAATGGCTTAACCAGGAAAATTCCGAAAAGTGGAGATTATGCTGGGGTCCACACAACCATTGAGGACGGGCTATTCAAGTATCAAGTATTAAGTAAGTACATTACTTTTATCACATATCTTACTATATTTCTTTATAACATATTCCAGTATATGTTTTTTACAATACCATTATATTTGGTATTAATAAAAAAAATTCCCTACTAACAGTAAGACAAAAAAAAGAAGAAAGGATATTTAAGGTTCTGCGCTATAAGAAAGCCATCAGAGAAGTGAGATGCCACCAAGAAACACCATCCCACCTGTACCCACTGAAGAATGTGTGAGGCGAGTTCCGGATCATACTTTCCATGGATTTTCTGCTGTGCCTCCAGAGCGATACCAGACTTCTCAGCACGAACGTCGCACATTCTTGAAACGATCAATGTGGTGTATTCCGAGGAAAAACGACCGAAAAAAGGAAACAAGCGGCCTGAAATTGCACAAACAGATGATGAACTAGAAAAATACGTCTATGAATTGCAAAAAACTAATTCAATACGTGTATATACACGTATCTACATGTACATACGTGTAAATATATCTATATACATCAGACAGATGTGCAGAAATAACTTGTGACGAATCGCTCTCAGCTCATAGACTGCACGTTCTTATTGCTCCAGAGATGAAAAATGAAAATCAGATCCACTTAGCCCAAAAGTTTGGCCCCACATATATTGGAAACGAAAAGACTTTGTCACTCGAGGAAATGGGTAGATCAAATAGATGGGAAGCGATAGAAAAGCACTGAAAGCGGCGAGAAAAAGTGCTACCTCGTCTTAACGAAGGATGAAAAATGCAGCCTAAAAAGAGAGAGATAGCCAGGAAAACGATGATAACAGGGATGCCATCACTATTTGCTCGCTCCAGAGTTACAGCAAAAGTTTCGGCCATATGAGGGGCAGCCTCGAAAATTTGGTGTTAATCGATTGCTGGCGCGAAATAGCAACAGCATGTCTGCCAACAACTGCCGAAGAACGTCCTCGTCAAGCTTCTGGAACATTCGGAACGATTCCGATGTGGAACGCAAACTTTCAGTGACAAAAGCGCTTGTTAGTATTCTGCCCGATGAGCCATCGAATTCGACACTAACACTTTCAAACCATACTAAAAATTCTTCCCCAAGTCCATAAAACTGAGCTAAACACTTAGATGGAGACTATTCAACGTCGAACTGAAGAACTCTTTATGAGGAAGAAAGCACAAATTAGTCATTGAATGGATTTCTAATGATTTAATAACAAAACCTGGACAACGACGGAGCAAACAGTGAAGTAAAACTGACTCGTACGAGAGATGACAGATAGCCCGCGAATGGGGAGCGAAGGCGCGCCAAATCGAGTAGATCAAAAGTGCAGCGGTACAGTGTCGTGGATCAAGACGAACTTAATAACCTTTGAGAAGGCGTTTTTTCACCGATTACTTTATGACGTTCGCTGCTAAATGAACTATACATACAATAAAGGAGAATAAATAAAATAGAATGATAGAATAGTCAATAAAGTGGAATAAATTAATAAATAGGATAGTAAGGAATTGTGTGTGCTTATCAAGAAGGCGGCGAGTTATTGATCAACGACAAGATTAATGGAAAGTCGGTCTTGGGAATTATACAGTAAAGTTGTTTTACAAGGGAGGCTACGTTACAAACGACAGACGGGTCTTCGCGATGTGTGAACCAGTAAAAGGTGCTTTGATCAGCTTCAGGTTTGAGACATTTCTCTTTCTCTTGAGTAAAACGACTTCAATGGTAGCAGCACATTGCGTAATTTTCATTGTAATTTCTTGAAAACCGACGTGAATCAAAACTCGATTGGAATAATCAATCAATAATTTTAAGAAAATTGTTGCCATTGTAACTGTCGAAACTTCTGTTTCTACTATTTATTCCAGGTAAAAGAATGAAATCTTGATGGGAGAGTATTGTTGCAGTTTTAGATAGTTGTGCTATGAGTCACATGATAATGAAATGCTCTCAATGACGTCATCGTCGCAATGGAATGCGCTCCTCTCTGACCTTTTGCGCAAATCAGTGGCGATAAAATTACTGGCATGGTGAGGACTTTTTCCCGGAAGGGTTTTTAGTAGGCACAATTCACCCATTCAAAATGAGAAAGAAGATAATGGTTGTGAATAGTAATAGGAATTATGTCAATAAAGAGAACAGAGAAGAATTCCTTCACAGAGTGCAAATTTTTAATTCTTAGATCGAATTAAAACTACTCTTTCACTTTATCGTTCTAACTGGGCATGACTGTATAATGAACTCTGCGTATGTAGCGTAATGGTTAGAGCTGCTTAGCAATGCGAGCGTGGTCTTTCGTTCGATCCCACGCCCAGGGACTACGGAACCTTCCATCCCTGTGAGGTCACATCATATTAGTAGCGATCTTTTCTGAGGGGATCGTATCACTGACTTGATACATTGGAAGCCACCGGAAGACATTGTGTAAACCAGATATGCATTCAACCACCCCACGTTATTACGTTTGAAGGTGAATACATGTCGCATTATACTTACTGCGTTTTAAATCACTTTATTAAGGAGTCTTAGAAAAACTTTAGGTAGTTGTACAGGTGGAGCCTAAATAGGAAATAGAAGACCTTAGAGGATACACAACGATTACTTGCAGCGAACTGGTAAGAGAAAAGCGGCTCCTCTATGGAAGCACAACGAAGAAAGTAAGTGCAAAGAAGAAATGTTATCACCTGCGATTACCATGGATTTCTCTGCTTCTTCCTATATGTATAAAAATCAGAACGTAAATAAACCTGCAAAGAAGAGCTGTCAATTCTCGGGAATAAAGAGGCGTAAAGTTACATAATTGGAACAGTGGTAAAAGGATTTGCTAGATCGAACCTTTGTGTCACCTACGCCATGCTCTGGCTAAGGAGGATTCGTATTCATTTAACTAGAACTATTGAAAATTAAAAGAAAAGGCCAAAAAAGAGAGAGTTAATCTTTCTGGTCAACACACCCATCGTTATAATGACATAATACCGAGCTTCTTTAGTTTGGCTTTAAAAATATCATTGTCATTGTCATTACTTGACCCGCCATCATATCTAAAGTGCCGATCGCAGCACTTCTTGGATTCGATTCGTTTTCCTCGCAGTCATTCGCTGTTTTAGAAATCGAAGAAGAACAATCTGGAAAAGAAATCCTATCACAGATCATACATTTTCTGTCCTACTGCTTCACAATTTGCTGGCCGCATTTTTCTTGTGGAATAACAAGTACAAATGAATGTCGGCATCTGTACCACATTTGATTTAGTGGCAGACAAACAGAAGGATGCTGGTTCGGCTCCGGCATGGAACATCATGCTCCTCTACTTAAGATTTCCGCATAGGAAAAGTGTTATCTCAATAAGATTGAACAGTTTAAAATAGCACGGACTAACGAGCTTTACTTATAACTAATGTAGAGCGAATTTCGCAGATAAGTGCGAGGAATACTAAGTTTTTCATAAGCCAGTGCATACTTTCCGGCTCCAAGCCTTCACCCTTAGTCTTTGCACGAGTTTTTCGGTCTCCATCTCTATATCAGATAGCACACTTTAAAGCTCATGGTTAGTCCTATATTCTCATGTCTATGCTTTTTTTCGTATTTATATATGGACATTCATGATTATACCGGCTTTTTCGCCGTGCGCTACAAGTCACAACTACCAGGTCGCTCAGAAAATGATAGGGGATTTTTAGTGCTTGTCTTTTTTGTACCCGTTGGAGCAATAATTTTTTTTTGTCAAATCGCACTCCTATGTCCCAATGCTAAACCCATTTTATGGACTTTAGCCAAAGAAGTGTTGATGAATTCACGGCGCTTGGAAAATCTCGTTGTGGAGAATCCGGCGATAGTGACGAGGAAGACTACAGACGCCCATTTGTCTATTGACGAGTGTGAATTGAAGGCTTTGATGGAAGAAAACACAACGACAACTGTTCGAAAACTTGCAAAAGGAGACTCCGTATAAGCATTAAAAGTGCTTCGTGACATCTAAAAAAGGTTTAAAAGTTCTGAGTACGGGACAAATGGATGCCATAGGAATTGGCAGCACGTCGCACCACCGATGCCGCAGAAGCTGAGCCAGCTGGACGAGTTGAACGAAACTTTGTTTTACCAATTTTCTAAGCGTTTTGATAGCACACCTGTATAAAACCTCAAAAAAATAGCAGAGGCCGAAACTGCTCTCAACAACCTTATTGCCACCAGAACTCCAGAGCTTTACTCAGTCAGAACGCACAAGCTCGTTATTCATTGAAAAATACCAGTAGATTCTAACGCTTTTTATTTCGATTAATAAAATTTATTCCGACCTGAAACATGCCTCTTTGAATAGTACGGGTTGAAATTCTGCATTAATTTTCTAGAAACCTAGTAATTCACAACTTGTGTTGTTCATCTTTTTTGACTCCCTCAAAAAAGCGAGCGTCGGGTATCCTCCTTTTTATTTCGCTTGTTTTATTCGTTCAGTACGTAAGGATGCACCACATGAGCCACTTACTTGCAGTTGCACATGCAGCGACACCTTAGCGTCGTTATTATCAGCCATGCTGTCATCAATGAAGATGGCTTCCCACTCTCCCTAATAGCTAACAATATCCCCGGTAAAATGAAAAAACAGCTTTCGAAACGAAACGCGCTATTTTTAACAATTTTTAGCTTGGAGGTCAGAAAGAATGCTGCAAAGCTGCAACGGTTAGTAAATTATAGTGGATGGACGTCTGGTGCAACAACTGTGATTGAGAAGCTCTCGACCGAATACAAATAGTTCAGCAAAAAGCCCTGCTTTATAAAATAGTGAACTAGAAAAGTAATGAGTCGCTCTATGGTCCACTGAAATATTCGATACACTTCTTTTTGTATACATGTGAACCGTACCAGCAACGCCATAAGCAGAATTTTAGGTCAAATGGGCGGCTTTAGCGTAATGGTCGGAGATACCTTGGATACACGCGTAGTCATTGGTTCGATTTCACGCTTCATGCTCACCAGTACCTTCATTTCTCTCGAGTCGAAAAATTAGCAGCAGGCTTCCTTGAAAGGATAGCAGCAGTGAGTCCATACTTCGCTAGATCACCAAAAATCACTTTGTAGGCCAGATTTTCATTCATTCACCTCTAGCGATGCCTAATGAGTCAATTGATGAGCTTTTGTTATGAAATAAGAACAATGCTTTTTTACCGCATTGTGATACACGAGCAGAAATTAATTACAACAACAACTGAGGACTTTCTCGGCTGAGTAAGGGTGAAGCACAGAAACACTTCCCGAAAACGGTTTTGTATAAGAAGATTGTGGTGACTGTCTTGTTGTTGGAAAGTGAAGTCATCCACAGTACTTCCGTGATAGATATAGTGCGCC